AGAAGAAACGAGCAAGTATATATTTTAAAATATAAAAAGAGCTGTGAGAGCACAGAAAAGAATGGGCCTAATATAATACGGTATGTTAATTATACTTAATTAAAAATTTAAAAATAAATAATTAAAAAAAAGAATGGCCTAACTTTTCTTCCTGTGCAGGGAGGCCCTTTCTGGATACCAGTAATAGCTAATTATCATTGAATTGCTCTGTGTCCCAACCACTGCTACAAGCACGTTGCACGTATTTACTCATTTAATTATTACAACAGCTCAGTGAGGCAGGTGTACTTTTATTATCATGTCCATTTTAAAGATGAGGAAAACAGAGGAATGGAGAGATTAGTAACTTGCTTGTGGATACACAGATTTGGTATCAAAGCCAGACAGTGTGAATCTAGAGCCTGCCCTTTCAACCATCACGTGATCTGCCCCTATTTTATTAAAAGAAAGTTCAGAATCTTTAAATAAGAACATGAAAAACAGGGGACATATTGGAGAGAGCAAATTATGGAACTGCAAGTAATTCTGTTTGATTGGAGCATCGGATGAATGTGGAGTGATGAGACCCTCCGGCAAGAAGCCATAACATTTGCATTGGCTGTAGATCAGTAGGAACACAGTGTGTGGAGGGTATGAACAGGATTAGCCGGGACTAAAACCATTTTCAGTAGTCACAGTACTGGCAATAATTATATTTGAGGTGTGACTGTAAAGTCATAAAATAGATTTTACTTTAATACGTATATTATGTGAGTGTGGTCCCTTTCCAGTCCATCATCTTGGGAAGCCATGTTTTATTTCTGCTGAGGTCCCATTGCTCAGAGAATGTTGGGAATGTCTCTTCTAAAATACCTTCAGGGGGCGCCTGGGTGGCTCAGTCGTTAAGCGTCTGCCTTCGGCTCAGGTCATGATCCCGGGGTCCTGGGATCGAGTCCCGCGTCGGGCTCCCTGCTCAGCGGGAAGCCTGCTTCTCCCTCTCCCACTCCCCCTGCTTGTGTTCCCTCTCTCTCTGTGGCTCTCTCTGTCAAATAAAGAAATAAAATCTAAAAAAAAAAAAAAAAAAAACACCACCTTCAGAACAGGATACAGTACAGATTTTATTATCTTAGGATCATGCCTCTCATTTTTGTTTCAAATGTATTTCCTGGTTGGATCACTTCCCTTTTTACCGAATTTGGCTCTGAATAACTTCTGCCTGTTTGCTGAAATAACAGCCACTCTCAACTCAAAAAACAGATATGTTGTTTCCATATACTGGTGATTCTGACTTTAGTGTACACTTAAGCATTATCTAGAGCTTAATCAAATAGCAGCACCCCCCTCAGTAATTCTGGTTCACTTGGTCTAAAGGAGGGAGTAATAGTAGGTTCTTAATCTGTTATCTTTAATAAGCATACTGAAGTTTCTGTTTTGAATGATCAGACCACACTTTGAGAAAGGCAGCTGTAAGGATATTCAAGAGAAAGCGTGATAAGTCTTAAGAAAGTTCCAAAAGAGGAATTCCAAAACGTTATGATCAACATTGACATCAATGGCAAGTATTGCCCACCTTGGGGCACTATCCTCCCATAGATGATGCCTATGTAGAATAAAATCTTCAATTATATTTTTAAAAAGAATCTGCATGGCTACACCAGATATACCGAATACCTGTGCTTTGGGAAGACCCATTTCATGTGTTTGTTTTTTCACTGATCATCTGCTCGGTGTTCTTCCGTAGAGAGGTATTCCTTTCTGAGCCAGGTAGATCATCTAAGGATCCAGTATTTTAGGGTTCAGCAATTTATCCACAAGTTACTATATTTTTTTGTTTTGTTTTCTTAAGATGGTGGGCTTCTTTCACTTCTTGGAGTTGGAGCACTAAATCCCAAGAGCAGGCATTGCGGATCCAATTTCTGTTAGTCATCTCCACAGTGACCAGGTTCACCAAGGTGATGGGCTGTCCAACTCCAGTTGTTGTCCTGAGATAATCAGTGGCAGGAATGCTCCAGAACCAACCTTCTTTCATGTTGGGATTTGTTACATTTTTGCCCCTTGCTGAATCCATGTGACTACCTAAATTAGCCCTCTATTTTTTGATCAAGTTCTTGATTTTAACAAAGATAATCTTCAATGAGAATGTGAGAGGAGCTTCCGAGCTGCCTTACTCTTTATTTATCAACTGTCTTCTGTCTTGTTCACTGAAGAGAATCTCGTACAATTGGAAACTGAAATTCAGTGCTACATCTTCTTTAATCAATCCACATTTCATAGGTCAGTCCTATTCTCCCAGTGGCTGACACAGAGCCTCACCTGGGGACTGAGTCAAGCTTCCTCCGGGTATTACTGGGTCACAGTGTAGAGGTTACTAGTCTGTCTAGTCAGGTCCTTTGTTCCTAGGAGTCCTGATGCTCAGCTTGTCTGGATCTATTATCCACCTTGAAAACATGTGATTTTTCTAGGGCCATTTAACTTAATTTAAGCTCTTGACTGGTTAAAAGCTTAGTGAAGTGTGGAGAGAGAGACTATGTTTAGACCCCTGTGAAAAAAAAGTTTAGGAAAAGAATAGGTTTTTGTTTGTTTGTTGTTGTTTTAATCCCAGCCACTATCTCTCTCACTTTAACAAGGACAGCTATATTATCTTTAAGAAAGGCAGAGACAACAAAGGCATCCAAGACTGAATCAGACTGCTATCAAAACAGCCCTAAGCAAGGGGGAGCAGTGACCCGATGAATGACCACATCCTCTCTCTTCACTGCCTCTGACTTTCACCTTTCCTCTCTTCCTAGGTAAGGTTGCCAGATTTAGGAAAAAAGAAATAAAAACAGGATGCCTAGTTCAATTTGAATTTCAGATAAACAAAGAGTAATATTTTAGTATACATCCATGCAATATTTGGATCTATTCCAGGCTCTATTTCATGTGTGGTCTGTCCCACACAATTCAGTGCTTTTGTATGGTCTTGTGGTTTTCATACGCAGATTTGTCCCTCAATTAGATCAAACTGTCCTCCAGGCAGGATCTTACTTCGTATCCCTCAAGGCACCATAAATACTGACTTTTCTATTTGGGGGCCTATGTTAGATTTCTCAGGTTGGTTTCCTCTGCTGCAAATGCAGAACACCCCTGAGCAGCTCAGACCTTTCCTCTCCACACCTGTGAGGTTATTGTTTCATGAGTGATGACAGGGCTGAACACAGAGCCCTGAACGTAGTAAGCATGCCATATATTTTTATGATTGATTAATGAACTGAAAGCAATCTGTTGTCTTCTTTGGAGTCAGATTCAACATTCATGAACTATTTATTTGCATGCCAGGAGTTAGTAGTAGGCTCTATCTCCCATGCTGTCCATCTGGGAAGTCAGATGAATTACTCTTCCCTTTGGGGGAGATAAGAGGAGAGAAGTGGGGAATGGGGCTGGGAGCTACACCCAGATTTGCAAATGTGTATTATGGCTCAGCCAAAAAGATGGAGATAAAGTTGTCCTTATATACAGGGAATCATTTCAAAGGAATGGAATATTGACTCTCAAAGATTGGAGCGCTATCTTACCCATTGTATATTTTTTACTTCCACTGACTTTTCTGGTTTAAATTTCTTCTATGGCATGTTGGTGTTGCAGATACATATCTACAGTATCATAAAAGTATGAAAGAACTTTGAAAGCTAATAGAATGATATAAATGGCAAAATATTCAACTCATATTAAAAAGCTTACCAGCATATAGAGTAACAGCACACATCAGATAACGAGGTGTCTTTTACACACTTTGTGCTTCTATTAATGATTTTATTTAGATCTTCCTTTGTAAATGACACTGAGCAGACTTCAAACCTTGAAGATTAAGAGTTATGAATACCCTCTCTTGGTTCAGTGCTTTTCAAGTGTGAAATGCACAGAAGAGTGAACATATTCAGACGTGTCTAGATGATGATTTTTATGCCAGTGAGGCTTGTCCAAGGCAGGCTTGTGAATATGGTCCTTGACTCCCCCTTTCTGAGCCTTTTCCTCTGCTTCATGGCTCCTGAATGCCCTCTCAGATCCCCTGCATCCTTTGGAGGATGGAGGGAGCCAGGAAACTGCCCAGTACCTTGAAATCCTACCACTGTGCCTGTGAGCCCTGCTGAGAAAACTGCCCATTTGATTGTGGACAGAAATGACGACAAAGAAAGGGCTACTAGACCCCCATTTTACTCTAGTAAATAAACATAAACTTGCTGCCATAAGCCTCAATGAGAATCCATAACTCAGTGTCGCTCTCCTATATCTTCAGTGTCCCTGGAGTTAGGCCAGAAGAACAAAAGCTGAGCATGAGAATTCATGTTCATTTCTTACCCATTCTAACACCATGAACACAAGAAAACAAAGTTCTTATGAAAGTAGATTATCATATATAGTTGATAAAAATCTAGTGTGATAATCCCCAAGCTCAAAATGTGATTGAAAAATATTTTCTGGCATGCTTATGATTTTTAGTCAAGTCAAGCTTATGTCCTTTAGTCAAGGACAAATCTTGTCCTCTGTATCTTGTACCTCTGGCATCAAGTGAATTTCAGACCATTCGCCATTTGTTTAAAAATAAGAATATTGATTTTATCTGGAAAGAGACCAAATGAAACTTTAAATCCAGGTGCACTTCTTATTCTTATAAATACCTAATGGAACAGTTGGATGAAGATTGAAGTTTTATTCGTTTTATTTTTCAGGATGATGTCTTGTAATATCTTTATAAATTTCTTAATATTTTTCTTTGTTTCCTTTGAAAATTCTTTTATTGGGTGATTGGGTTTAGGTGGAGAATGAGCCTAATGATTAGAGAAACATGATGATTCTACATCATCCTATCCAAGATAGAGGAATGCGTTGGCTAACTCTGTGGTTTCATGGATCTCTGATTTGGGGAATAAAAACTGTAATAAAATTACTACCAGGATTAGCTATATTCATTTGAGTAGCATTTTTATGTCTCTGATTTGAATTCAAATGCATTATTAATATTTTCCCTTTTTTTAATATAGGTGGAGAACAGACCAAAATATTATGGAAGAGAGTATGTATCATGCTATTCGTTGTTTTAATAATGTAATAGTCATTTCTTATGTCATTTAAATATTAAAAATTAAAAATCTTCTAATATATAGTCTTCATCAAATGTCCATTGTGCAAGTGTTTAAGGGTAAATGCCATCAGACCCCTTTGTATTGAATTTTCTTTATAAGACTCAAGTGCTTGGCTTCCATGAATGTGGGAGGGATTATTTCCTGCTGTAGTTTTCTCCTGCAAAGCGGCCACTGAGCACCTCAAGTATTTGAAACCTAAGGCAGGCTTTTCCATGACTGAGGTGCTGTTAGTATTTTATTTCACTTCCTACCTTGATGCTATGTAAACATTTAGAGTGTCAAAGATTGTAAACCGCGTGGCTGAATTCCTTACTTTCACGTACTTCAGTAAAGGCAATACGGGGAAATCACCCCATTTCCCTGCAGGCTCATAAAACCTAAATGATGAGTTCTCTTGGCTCGGATAGATTAGCCAAATTGCCTCAATACCACAATGATTATTTCCTCCCATTTTCCTCTTAATTTCAACTCTTGTTTTGTCTTACTTCCTCAGAAGCCTACTGTAAAGCAAACAGGCATCCCGTAGAAAGCCTTCTCAGTCTCAGTCTCAGTCTCAGGCTGTGGCGTGGCGTGGCGTGGCGTGGCGTGCTGTGTGGTATAGCTTACAAAGCACAGGCAGAACAACCCGTGCGGGGGTCCAGTGCCCAAATCCCTTTCTTCCCACGTCCAACCTGGAGGCCTTATGAGCCACAGTCTTCAAACAAGTCCACGTCCCAAGCCCTCCTGGCCAATCCAAACCTTCTTCCTCTATTCACTTCCCCATCAGGGCCTCATCTTCGTGCTCAATGACCCTCTTATGTGTCCCAGCCTAGCAGTGACTTCCCAATGGCATTTCTGAACCTTCCTTTCCAGCCTTGGGAATTCAGCCAGGACCCCTGGAATGCCTGTCCAGGAATGCTGGCCTCTGCTTTCAGCCATCCTCACGTCCCTAACATCTAACCTAGTTAGTTAGTTAGGATGCTCTTTTTCCTTCAGTGTACTGACCGGGATTTTTGCTCACAGAGAGCACAATTAATAAAGAAAAAGAGAAAGGAAAGCCTACGAAACGGGACAAAAAGGAACTCTGTTGTGCATTTTCTTTGTTTTGTCAAAGTTTTGTTGAACAACGTTTTAGTTAATCGTTTTCCAACCCCCAAGCCACACAAACTACATAGTGAGAGGACAGCAAAGAAACATTTTCTTAAGGACAGAAAAAGGATCATTTTGCATTAGAGGGAAGTTAGCTTAAAAACTTCAGATTCTGAGAGGCTTTGGTCCATTGAAAAGTAATAAATGCTCTCTTCAGGAAACATATATGCATTTTTTTCCTACTAGGAATCACATGAAACTGTTGACAATGGATACCTTTAGGAGAAGAGAGCTTTTACTCTGTAATGTTTACATTCTTACCTCTTAGGTGCCTTTTAACTTTTGAATTTTCCCACTGTGCTTTGGTATGAATTTTATTCTTAAAACATGAATAAATTAATACCCGCTAATTTGGGAAAATTAGAAAATATATAGGTAGAGAAGGTGGAGAACATCCTCAGCTCACCATGAAAAAAAATCTTTGCTAACTTTTCCCCTTCATCTCTTCTGGTGTTTCTCTATGATGCTTTCTTTCTACAAGGAGGGGATCATAAGATATATATATCATGGATATTTTTAAACCCATGCATAAAGGGGGTGATGAGCCATAAGCTATTCACAGAACTGTAATTTTCTTCTTTTGAACAATTGAGTTCAATTTGGTTCTTGACGTGTTATGTCTGCTGCTGGCTATCAGCTAAACTGTGTCGAGGGAGTTAAGGATGAGATGCTTTCACAGTACCTGCCTGTTTGGGGTGTCCCTCCTCCGTGACAGTGGCCTGGGGCAAGGGAGTCAGGTTCCTGTGCCCTCTGCTGTGTGTGCCTCATCCTGCTGCGGTCATCCCCTCCCCTGCCCTGACCCACAGTCAGCTTGTGTCCTTTCTGACTCCACTGTGGGAAACTTTCCGATGCCCAGTGCCCCTCCTACTCCATACCATGTCCCTGTCACCACATACACATACATTTCTCTCTCATGTGCACACACACTCTCATACACACACATATATGCTCTCTCTCATAATCACACTCAGACACATGCTCTTCGTACACATGTCCACTGGCCCAGTGTCTGTGAGGCTCCCTCAGGTCTCCCGGCCCAGGCCATCCATCCTGCCCAGCTCATACTGCATAGGAGGTGTTCCCACAAGGTTCACAGGGTTCAGTGGCCACATGCCCAGTCAAAGCCCCCAACACCTCTGCTCTGGCTCCGAGATCCCCATACAGTCATCTGGGATCCACCAGTTCCAATCTTGAGTCTGAGCTCTGCCCAAATTCCTCCTAGTCTCCCTCCTGCAAGAACAGGGGACACAGGTCTCTTTGGGGCAGACAGGTTGCTTATATGCCACATCCATCCTCACTTCAGAAAAGTTCTGCTCCAAGATCTCCACGTGTTGACTTTTGAGATTTCCAAAATTTGGAAAGCAGAAAACCTCTTTCTCCCACCTTGTCACTGAGTCAGACTTTTGGGAGTTGATTTTGGATCTCAAAGCTACAGCTTCTTCTGGCTTCTCTCCCCTAAGACAAAAGCTTCAGTTTATAAGGTCTACTTGTTAAGAAGGACAGAAGGGAATTAGGAAATAAATACTGCAATAGCATTTTACCCCCAAACTATTATCATGCTACCTTTGTCCTCACTTCATCTTCACATTCCTGGGGGAGAAGGCCAAAACTTGTCTAGCCAACTCCACCCCTCCTGCCCCCTTTCCGGCTCCAGGAAGGTGAAGGGATTCTCTGTCCAGAAAAATTTCTTCTCTAATTTATTCCCCAAAGATCTTCAAGTTTGGGTAATCCTGGGAAGAGGGTGTTGTTCCCTCCCCCCGGACCCTGGGGTCCCTCAGCACTGGCTTCACTCCCCAACCCAGCTCCCCCACCCTCCTATGAAACATGAATTGATCAAATCTCTGGTAAGTGGTGGTGGGGTGGGGAGCTGTCTTTGCTTCAAGACAACAGAGAAGGTTCCCCAGGAGTCACTGTCTACTCTGTAGGCCTCGGACATGTGCCTCCAGAGCAAAGCAGTCATTAGCCAAGCCTGCATTCTTCCTAGATATGCTGTGTTTTCTACATGCATGTGTATTATTTTTAAAATTGCAGAAAAAAAATAATAAACGTTATCTTTTAAAAAGAACAATAGGTACATTTTTTTCAAACATATCCTGAAGCGATTGCTCTCAACATTAAAAGGAATGGAAGAATGTTGATCATAGCTGGCTATTGTTTCCAGAGAATGAGCCTCTAAAATTAACAACACCCTGCACCTGAAGTAAACAAGTTGATAATCAATAGTGTTCATTAGCAATCCGGACAATATATAGTTTCTGTGTTTGAGCTGAGAGCTAAATTGGTAATTGCTCTTTTGTTATTCCCCATGGTTAAAGAAGGGGCCATAACCTGGCCTTTTGTTTTGACTTTAGCTTTCAGCTTGAGAGCAAAGACAAGAGCAGAAAGCCAGCTGGACTGGGTGTTCTTCATTTTGTTTTGCCTACCTGAATACTTCTTATAAGTTTGGGTGTTTGCTGAGAAGCAGTTCCAACTGCATCTTTAAGATATATGGTAGTTACTCCCCTCTTCATCCACGTGGGGGACAGTCGGTTCTGGGTGGCCCCGCCATCTTTTTTAGCCCAGCTGTTTGTGGTGCATAGTTTGTATGAGGTCTGTTGAGAACAAAGATGGTCCGTTCTCTCCTCAGGTTTCACGGGATCATCTCCCGGGAGCAGGCAGATGAGCTTCTCGGAGGCGTGGAGGGCGCCTACATTCTTAGAGAAAGCCAACGCCAGCCAGGATGCTACACGTTAGCTCTAAGGTGAACCTGATTTCATCCATTGTTGCTGTTGCTCTTCAAGTGACCGCACTTAATTTTTTCCCTTTTTTTTATTGCCATAAAATATGTGTAACATACAATTTACCATCTTAACCATTTTTAAGTGAGCAATTCAATGGCGTTAAGTACATTCTTAGTGCTGTGCAACCATCTCCACTATGGGCTGGAAGGATTTTTTTCATCATCCCAACCAGAAACTCTACCCATTAACCAGCCTCTCCCCCTACTGATTTTTCATTTTTGTTTTGTTTACGGAGTACAAGTAGCATATTAGAGGCTTATACACTTCCTAGGCCACCGATGTTATCAGTAGGATGCACACTGAGGCTCTGTTTATGCACATACAGTAAACTGGGGAATTATCTGGAAAGTTAGTGCTCCTATAGCCACTTCTGCCTAAATCTGATCCAGCTGAGGGAGCAACGCCTCTGCCTCAGTTCCTGGGAGCCCTTGTCAAAAGTCTTCACCTCATGTTGTGTATGTGTGCCTGGACTGACGTGGAGTTTGTCCATGGGTTCTCTCGGGGTTTAACATTGACCCAAGGGTCACATCCACTCCCAATGACAGTCATGGCACTCCATGCCTGCAAGCCATCAGAGCAGAGTTTTCTTGAGCCTTTTATCACAAAATCACAAGAACTGGAAATCACAGGGCCAGAAAAGCATTGCATTTTCTGCACTTTCCTAAACTCAATCAAATATTTGACGCCATTTGATCCTTATGGCAATCCCATAAGGTTTGGGGAAAGCATCCAATTCCAGAATTGAATTGTCTTCTGAAAGTTCATTTATGAACTCTTTGGAATTAGGAAGACCTTTCTCCATAGAAAGAATGGTATTAATGGAAACACTTCCCAGGCCGGCCCACAATGGCATATTCCAGGTGACACCTCAATATTGTGGCCATAAAAGGCTACTTCCCAAGTTGCACCTAGGGATGGTTTGAACATATCTGAGATGATGTCATTATAAGAAAGTACTTCAAAAGCTAGTAAGTGCTCTAGGTATGCAAAGTATTTTCCTATCCCCCAGCCCTCCAGCAGCAGGCACAGGCAGTCCCAGCGGGGAACCAAACACGGGCTGTGAGATACAGGACCAAGGCCAAGAGGGCACAGCTGGTGCTAAAGAGGGAGGACCTTATAGGTTAGATCCCTGGGATGCTGGCGGTGGCCGCTCCAGCAGGGAACTTCGCCCAGCTCCCCCCATCTCCTTTCTGTGGCACCAACTAGGGTGGGAGGCATGAGGTGCTCTGCTGGTGGTGGCCAAAAATGTCATAATAAGGGGACATCAGGGCGAGTGGTGGTAGCTTCCCCTGCAGAGGCAATTGCCGGGTATAGGGGAGGGGTAGAGAGCCAGGGCTAGTTTTCATCAAGAAAATTTAAAAGTAAAATATATGTAAACCAGGCTCTACCCTCTCACATTTACAAATGAGAATAATAAGGACTCAACGGCCTTAGTGATTTCTAGGATCCAGTGACACCATATGACTGCCGGGTGTTGAATCCCACCCCTGCCTCTCTCCAGGGGTGTAATCTCAAGCAGGTACACGATCTCTTCAAATCTCAGTTTTCTTAGACATAAAACCAGGACAATAATTCTACCTGTCTCAAACTATGATAATTAAATGGGGGGGAGGGTAAAAAAAAAAATCATTCCAAGTGCCTCGTTCAGTGCCTGACATACATTATGCACTCAAAAAGTGTTAGCTGCTACTGTTCTTCCATGTTCTTACTTCTAACACTGTTGTGATTTCTCTTTCTCTTGGGGACAGGTTTGGAAACCAGACTTTAAACTACAGGCTCTTCTATGATGGAAAACACTTTGTGGGCGAGAAGAGGTTTGAATCGATTCACGATCTGGTCACAGATGGCTTGATAACACTGTACATAGAAACAAAAGCTTCTGAATACATTTCCAAAATGACCACAAACCCCATTTATGAACACATTGGATATGCCACTCTACTCAGAGAAAAAGTATCCAGGAGGCTGAGCAGGTCGAAAAATGAATCAAGAAAAACAAGCGTTACAAATGAAGAACACACAGCAGTTGAAAAGGTAAGCTACGTGTGTGACAGAAACAGTCTCTGCTCAATCTATGCTGAATAACTGCTTGATTAACTATGTATGTGATTGGCCAGAATGTTGGAAGAGACCCACTCCCACCCAAAGAAATCTAGAATGTTCTGCTAGGAGGGACCTTAGAAATCTTCCGGTTCAACGGAGGCCCGGAAGTGTGAATTCATTTGCCCAAACTCATACAGTCAGAGCGAGGGCTTCACAAATAATTATTTGTGGGTTTATTCGGAGTTTGAAAAAAACACTTTATTAATGTTTTATGATGAAAATAGTCCTTGGTTTTAATTCCATTTGAGGCCCTACTGGCCATCTCTATGTCCACCTAACTATGCAAAATCGTGATATTTGTGTCTGCTTCTCTTAGGACCGAGTGACCATGTGTGATGCACAGGTCAGCCCTCCTGAAGGTGGTCTTACCTAGATAACAGCTTTTACTGACAGATACGGGAGCGTTATCGGGGAGGATGGCTATCTCTGGGAGGCTTAAAAGACGGGCTGTCCTTTGCCTCGCTGAGGATTAGAAACTCCTAAGTGGGCGATGTTCAAGCTGCATGGATGGTGGCAGGATGTGGCGGGGGAGATCTGATTTTCCCCTCCAGTAAGTTGCTGTTTATTTGACAGTCACCACCACAGTTTGCTAGCAGATTTTTTGGATGTGCCCCTTTAGGAACCATCTGCTTTGCCTGGTCCTGTGTGTTTTCCGCTGAAAGAAATTGACAGCCAGTCCTACTGGTCAGCCCCCACTGAGTCTGTGCTGAGCCCAGTGTCGAAGGCAAGCTTGGACTGGGACAGATATAAATGGGGGGGAGCAGAATGGTGGGCAATCCTCCTTCTGGTGATCGCTAATCCTTAATTAAACCGGAACGGCGCCCCCACCCTCCCCTGTTGTCCAGTGTGAGCATAAAGCAAAGGAACCTTAGGTTGACTGGCTCCCTTGGCTTTGGGACAGGGACACACCAGAAATCACTGGAATAAGGAGGAGGGCAGAGATAGGCCGCACGGCGGTCCTGTTGGCAGAGACGGGCATGATCTTAATTGATTTGCTGATTGGATTTCAGAGCCTAGTAAAACCTTCCCCAAAATCACATCAGCTGAGCAGCTGGCCCATGAAAAAATTATTTGCCATTTTCTCTAACTCCAGTGTCTCCAAGGCACCTGTCATTCTTTTACATATAATTGATTTGGGAAATGGTGGGTTTTCTAATTGTTTACATTTTACCAAGAGGAAGGGAGGGGACATGAGCCCCAACTTTCAGAGTTTGTTCCGGTCCAGGCAAAAGCCATTCCTTAGTCTGTTTGTAAAATCTGTTCAAAAGTAATTTAGAATAGAAAATCTGGAAGCTGACCTTCCCAGCCATGACAAATCAGAAGATGAATTGTAAAAATAAATCTCTGAAGCGGTGTTTATATTTCCGAGTCAGAGAGTAATGCCGCCAAAAAGGCAACCTGTTACAACGGCAGGCTACACAGTGGAACATTTCCAGGGAGAGAGGTGAGTAGAAAGAGTGCTTCTTGTATGTTTGGGATGAGAGTTTAGATTCTGGGTACTGAGTAGATATTTCTAGAGCCTTGTCCTTCGCCAAGAGGGAAGTTTGGTCACAAAAAACTGATATTTCTAGATGATATTCCCATAAGGAAACTTGCAGGACAAAATATGCCCTTCGTTGTAGATCATTTTGTATTGTATTTATTAAAATTAAAATTTGGAGGAAATTAATAATCAGATTAATAATCACTTTAGATGAGCTTCCCAGGACACTTTCACCTTTCTAGGAAAAGGTAAATAAAGAAAACATTGAAAGAAGAAGTCCACACACAGGGAAGGGTTTGATGGACAGGTGCTGGTGGTGTGAATTTTCTGAGACTAATGATGCAACATTTGGCTTTCCTGGGGGACATTCTGAACGCTGGGTCTGGTCATTTGCTGGAGGTTGCTCATTTTGTCAGCGAGTTTGTTAAGTAACTTGGTACAAATCCATCTCTTTCTCTCTGACCTGTATTGACAAGTGGAATTATTAAAAGTCTCAGTCTTGCCAGAAATTCTATTTCCCTGAAGGGCAGGTCAGTGGACTGTTGCCATGGAGGCAGAGACTAGAAAAGAGGTAGCGGAAACTTGAATGGATTGACTGAGAAGTGCCCGGGGCACCTGTCTGCTTCGATAATGGCGCATCGTGGAGGTTTTAATGAGTGAAATGGGTAGGTTTCCTAATAATTCTCAAACCCAGACAGCCCGGCATTTCATTTTCCAGAGTACTTAAACTTTGTTCACCCATTTATTTTATTGATCATTTCCAAATGAATCCAGAGAGACAGTGGTACCTGAAAATCCAAGAATATTATCAGTGTTAATTGGCATAAAGATAATACCTACCCCATCAGAACTGAGTGGTTTCCAGATTTATCTCCTGTCGAGGTGGTTAGCAGTGAACTTGATTTTAATAACTGTAAATGAGGCAGGGAGGTGGGGGGGTGCAAAAAAAAAAAGTTGTGGTAGCTAGCCAATAGCAATCTCTTTCGTTTCTGATTCCTTATTTAATTGATTTTTAAAACATTATGATATATAAGGGCCACCATTTGGTGCATTTAATTAAAATGGTCATGCCCGGTGTAATTTCTTTTATGAAACTTATTTCAGAATTGATTCCATAGGTGGATTATCTACTGACCTCCAAAACCGGCACTCTAAGCAATAGGATAACAATAGAATTTGACATTGGTTCAGGCATTTATAGTTTATAGATTTCACACATGTGAGGTAGTTTCCCATTTTATCCTCAGAGCAACTTCGCCAGATACATAGAGTAGGAATCATTGTCCCCACTTCACTGAAAAAGTCACAGTGGCAGAGTGAGGAACCAAACCCAGATTTCTGAGCCCCGCGTTCAGAGCTTCCTAAACATACAGAGCAGCGAGGCTCCATTCTGTTCCTATTGCCCTTATTGCTTTAAGCAAACACCCCTGGTTCTCCCCACGCTCAGTCAGTTGATGCTAACAATCACTCAATATTTCCATCATCTGCTTTTAAAAACACACTGCTATTACTAATTATAACAAGCTTTTTTTATAACTAAGGATACTCTGCTGAATCAAATATATGTGACAAAAGTGTTTCAATGGCACATGTTTATTGGATAAATTTGGCTTGCTCGTATTGAATTGCATTTACGTTTTACTGGAGAAAAACCATCCGTATCCTTGATATAATAAAAGCAGAGTTTAGAATATATTATAGCTTATCAGTTGATTCATTTCAATATTTTTTCTAATAGCAAAAGTTAGAAAATAGCCTTAAATGCCCATCAGTTGGGGGCTGTTTCGATGAATTAGGGCACACCCATGTGAAGTAATACCATGCAACCACAGAAAAGAATAAGGATACTCGTATGCACTGATATGGAAAGATTATCCGGAGTTATTAAATGCCAAAAACAACTTGCAATATAGTGTGTATAATATGGTTTCATTTGTGTAAACCAGAAGAAAAATGGTTTTACGTGTTTTTTCCCTGCAAAATCATAAGCTGTCCCTTGAAGGATACAAGAACTAGTATCATTGGTTGCCTGTGTGTGTGTGTGTGAGGCGGGTAATCTGGGAAATAAGGGTGGGAGGAGATTCTTCCCTGCTACTATTCATACTCTTTGAATTTTGAACCACCATAAATGCAGCATTCTATTCAAAAAATTAAATAAGAAAAAAATGCATTAGGTTTTAAATTCACATATGCTAGAGCAAACCCCGAATAAAACATCTTCTGTACTCAAGGCATCACACACACACACACACACACACACACACACACACACACACGGAGCAAGCTGTTCCAGCCTCTGGACCCAGACCGTCTTTCCCACCCCTTTGCACGGGTCCCCTTCCCTATCCTGAGAGCTCCCTTTTCCCTTCATCTCTCCCTTGGATGCCTAACAAAGAGTCTGTGTGTAGCAGCCTTTAAGGTTGTGGCCAGAAGAGGGTAAAGGACCAAAATCACCACATAAAGACTTTGATGTGACTGTCCTGGAAATGGGTTGGCTGTCGCTTCCTCACTAGCACTGCTCCCCTGGGATCCTGCCCAGCCCTCCCCCCATGTTCCATGCCTTTCCCCCCACCCCACCTCTGCTTTCTCAAGCTGTGAAGACCAACTCCCTGATTCCTCTTGCTTTCCTAGGGCAGCAGGGAAGCCCTCTGGCTTCTGCTTGTCTTCCTGTGAAACCAGGAAGAGTGACCTTTCCCTGATTGAAGGGCTCTGAGTCTGGTTAGGACGTCCTCCTCTGCAGATGAGCTGTATCAGACAGGAACACTCTCTCTCCAACCCCAGTCCACCTTTTTTTTTTTCCTTTTTGAAATAATTCTCTTCTTCACATCCAGGGGGATCCTCTCATTGTTTATTTTGCTGTTTCGACCCTAAGAACCAGCTAGCCTGCCAGAGAGCTTTGCCCAGCAATGACATTACATTTCCCTCCACTACCCTGGAGCCGGAGGGCGTAGCCACACCAGGGAACAGATCTCCAGGCCTCGCTGACTGGCAGAAGCCTCACAAGTCAGTTGAGCTGAGACTGAATGGTTCTCCCCTCCAGTCTCACAATGGTACCTAAGTGTTGGTAGCCCTTGGTGACTTTTTGTTCATCAGAGTGTTGCTCTTGCTTTTGTTGTTTTCATCATAGAAACGTGATTGGCTTTGTCTGCAGGACAAAGTCCAAATTCCTCAGCAGGACATTTGTAGCTTGTCTGAGCCTGGGTTCCTCTGGAAGCAGAGCCTGAGATAAGGGTTTGGTACATTGGTAATTTGGGGAGGCATTCTTTTTTTTTTTGAGATTTTATTTATTTGCGAGAGAGAGAATGAGAGACAGAGAGCATGAGAGGGAAGAGGATCAGAGGGAGAAGCAGACTCCCTGCTGAGCAGGGAGCCCGATGTGGGACTCTATCCCGGGACTCCAGGATCATGACCTGAGCCAAAGGCATTCGCTTAACCGACTGAGCCACCC